TGCGATTTTGCAGGTCAAAGTTCACCAAGCTTGAACTTTCTGAAACCTGCCGCACGACCTTGTGTTTCCAGTCTGACTCATTCATGTGCATATGAATGGAAGTCTATGGGGAGAAAAGTGCAGTGTGAACGCAGGCTGTGTAATATGCTGCTGCTGTTTTAGTGTAATCAGTTTTGAAATTGGTAAACTGTTTCAACTGCAAAGCATGATGGTATGTGTAGTCCCAGTGAATGGCTGATAGAGTGTTCATCTTCTGGAGTGCCTTCTGGTCAATCTGGTTGGTACTCCAGCTAATCGCATTTCTTATGATGACTTTACTAGAAGAATAGAAGATTACAAGAAGAAGACTAGAATCCTGAGAAGAATTTCTTTTTGTTTTATTATTTACAAATCTATGTTACCAAACAATTTGAGATGGATCTGGATGCAGACCTGGTGCAGTGCAATCTGAGCTGTATCCAATGCTTTTTAATACGCTCACTGAACCCCACAAGGTTTTTAAGGTAAATGTGCAAACAATTTTATGGGCTGAATTTAAATTAGGTTAAGCATAACTAAATTTAGTTTGTTTGTATAAATTCAGCCAATATAAATGGTTTGCTACAACTTAATTACTCCCAGGGCTATTTATATTAAAGTTGATATTTAGCCGCACCATGTAATGTTTTGTTACATCTAATTTTTACGAGGTGGGTCGTTGGCCTGATGCTCAACCCTCAGACTGAAGAACTAGGACATACACACATACTGCACACTACAGACAATTTAGCCTACTCAAGTCACCTGAATAGCATGTCTTTGAACTTGTGGGGGAAACCGGAGCGACCAGAAACCCATGCGAACGTGAGGAGAACATGCAAACTCCACACAGAAGTGCCAACTGACCCAGCTGGGCTCGAACCAGCAACCTTCTAGCTGTGAGGTGACAGCGTTACCCACTGTGCTTAATTTATATGACTATTTTTATCATGAAATTTGTAACAGACTACAATTTGTAAATAATATACCCCACATTGTTCTGAAGTCCTAAAAGTTTGAGCATAGCTTTTCAAAATTCTCAGTCAGTTTAAAAGCTTCAAGTAAGGACACTGTCGAGTTCTCCTGCTACTATGTTATAATGAATTCATCTCTTGGCTTGTAAAACTGTGGCGATGTGTTGCTTTGAGAGGATGTTTTCAGATTACTGATGTAAAGTACTGTTCTGAAGGTTATGAGCATAAGGACAGTTGCTAGGTGACGAAATTGTTCTCAGCTAGTTTGAAAAGAGAACACGTCATCAATATGTCAGAGCCTTGTTTCTGTCATATGATCTATCAGTCAATCTTCTGCTCTCAATGAGATGTTGTTCATTCACCAGCAGAGAGTCATTAAGTGCACAAGATCGTGACAACAGCTGTAATATTACTCAGTCACTGCCCGCATGCAAAGATAGTCTGTGATAAGTGGTTTCTGTGAAGATGTTCTTGGGGAAAGTGCCAAGAAGTAAATGTCAGCCGGTAAAGGTGATTGATATCAGTCGTGACAATGTCACCGTGTCAGCGGCATTGGCAATGAATTGCGTTGAGGAGTCTGTTTTAATGAGCACCCGGGTGTTTACTGCTTATGCTGCTCTTATCTTCTTGGTCTTGCTGACTGTTTGTGCTAACACACCTTCTAAGGAAGTTTTTATTTTTACCTTTTTTCTCAGTTGGCCCAACTTTTTCTACAATTTTATATGAAGAAGGTTCACAATTTGGCCTGGATTCCCCCAGGACCATGATATTAGAATGTTAAACTCAGAAGTGTTATACTAGCTCTTTTTTCTGTTTATTTCTTGTAATTCTTACATTCCTGATTTGCAAAACTATACATAATGTCCAATTTAAAGCCTTAATTTGTTTTTTAACATTAAAGTCTGCTTGAAATAAAAATGAACAATGTTTACTTTGCTAGTTCACATTGTTGAATTAGCACATTGAAAAATTAGTACATGCAAGTACATTTTACTGAAAAAAAATTGTTTGTTTTGGTAATTTTCTATGAAAGTCTGCTCATTTGCTTGCACATTTTGAGTTGAAGTCCTACTGTTGATGGCAGCCTGAGGGCTCCCTTAACAAATACATATTTAAATCCTCTCTTACCATTATGTTTGCTATGAGGGAATGGTGCGCAAAACAAAGCCCCGCCCCTACTCAATATTTGGCTTCAGTTAAAAGTAAATCAACATAGTAAAATAAAAGTCTTAGCAACTTCTGGTTCAAGCAGACTTTATAGTGTCACACTAATTCAGGGGAAAAGAAAACAACAATGTGAATCCAATTGCAAGTGTTTAATGACCAATGGTCATGAATCAAAAGGGTGCAAAAAGAGTCCAAAACAAAATAACTATGATAAGTGTAGTAGCAGGGTGTGAATAATGTTCCAGATACACGGCAGCGAAGCGTCCAACGAGAGTCCTGACAAAGCACAGACAGACCATGAACAACAAATAACGTACTGATAACCAAGTAAAGCACTGCCGCTCATATAGACGCAACTGAATAAGGCACAGCTGAGCTGCTGATAAGAACAGCTGATCGGCATACGTAATCACCCACTTGATCACAACACACGCAACACAACCACGCGGAGTAAACCAAAACACAACCAAGTGACAACAAACACCACAGAAACAGTTCACGCATCTGCAACCGTGATATAAAGGTTCAAGACACCCTCGAGTATTTTGTAAAAAAAATTACAGATTTGTGTGTGTTAAGCATCAGTTCCGACAACATTAGCACCTGATAGCTTTAATTGCGGTGAAAACTGCATAATATTGAGATTTTGTCAGCTAATTTTATCTTCCGTGATTAAAATAATTTTTGGGGCGGGATCAAAATCGGTGACAGAGCGCGAATATGCTATGGAGTGATGACGCCTCGGTTTCTCATTATTATTCCTAGCAGAGTTTTCTTATCCCATTAGAAGACCTTGCTTCTTAATTATTCATAAGACCATGTGCTTTCAGAAGGCAAAGCAGACCTGACAAGCTGTGAGCCTCAATGACTGTGTGAGACTTCATCAAAAAACGGCACAGGTCGTATGTGTTTGTTTCCATTATCCACAGTTTTTTTTGCTTGTTTTTCCCTGCAATTCTGTCAGGGCCGATACAGCAAAGGTGTTGGTTTGCAGCAAGCTTTTTTGTCAAGAAATTTGTATGAGAATTGGAGAATGGCAGACTTTGTCTTTTATAAGTTGAGTTTGTTACTATTCAGACACATCCCCTATCCATGCTGTTGTGTTCACCATATGTTTAAAATCCTCCAGATGACCAGCAGGGCTAATGGTTGAAAAAGACAGGTCAAGAGACCTGCTGCACTGCTATCTACTGTGTCTGCATTCAGACTCAGAGACTAAGTAAAAAATAAGTCCTCCTCATTTATAGTGTTCATATAAACACGATTGTCTTTATCATAATATAACAAATTTTAGTTCTGTGTTTATAAAAATTATGAAAAACAAATATAGCAGGACATTAAATTACTGTTTTTTTTTTTTTATTAATTTTGTAAACTATAAAATCATGGGTCTCGTCACTGTTTTCGTCTCATTTTGTGAGCCAACTGACAACAGTTGTTCGCTCCCCTCTTTTTCCCCTGCTCTGCCAGCTACGCCCACTATTCCCTAAAAAGGGGTTTCATGGCCCTTTGAAAAAACATAAAATTGTTTCAATAAATGAATCCGTAAATTACAGTAAAGCACAGTTTACAGTTTTCTTGCTAGTCTATTGCTGGCTGTTGCTGGAAAAATGGGCCTGTCATATCTAAGATTTTTTTCCTATAGATTTCCTATAGACTTAACAACTCAGTTTGTGTAAATGGTAAGAGCATGGGATGATATGTTTAATTGTGTGGGTATTTATCATATAGAACAATTATCACAGCAAGAAATAAGAGATTTGTTTAGCCCAAAATATAATTGAAATCACCGAAAATGGTAATAGACAACAGTTTTACTGTATTAAACAAGAAAGTGACAATATCAGTGTGCCAAATCCCAAATGTGCAATAAAGCCATAATTACACAACACTATTATGTTATTATTATGCTCAGCTCAGTGTTGAATCATTTCAGTTCAATCATTATAAAACAAGTTAAAGTGTCAAATTCTACAAGTTTAGTGCCATTAAAATGTTATTACTCAATTTTATGTGCTTTTAAGGGTGTTTTCATACTTTTTTTGTATGGTTTGTACGGTTCATTTTTATGCTTCCATCCAAACAATGATGCGCAACAAACAATCATTTATTCATTCATTTTCCTTCGACTTGGTTCCTTATTTATCAGGGGTAGCCATAGCAGAATGAACTGCCAACTATTCTGGCATATGTTTTATGCAGCAGATGCCCTTTCAGCTGCAACCCAGTACTGGGAAACATCCAAATTGGATGAACTATATTGGCTGTATGTGAATGTTGGCTGTATAGTTCATCCAATTCACTTATACCTGCTGTCTTTGGGTTGTGGGGGAAACCGGACACCTGGAGGAAACCAATGCAAACACAAGAAGAACATGCAAACGCCCACACAGATTTCCAATCAGACTCAAATCAGTGGCCTTCTTGCTTTAATGCTAACCATTGAGCCACCACGCAACAAACAAGCAGACCAAAGCCATTGAAAATATGGGTGTGTTCACTTTTAATCTCACGTTCTGGTGAAATATTATAAGACAGCATTGACAAATAACATCTAAATCAAATCATAATAAACCAAAACCAGCCATATAATTGACAAAAAAGACAGAATATTAACGCATACCAGGACTAAATGTATCATTTTCTTATTTGGTCTGGACCAGCAGAACCAAAAGATTCGAACTTCAAGTTTTTAGGTGAGAGAAAAGGAGAAAAAAGGAGATGTCAGCTTTGCTAGCAATTAAAAATGATTGACTATATATGCATGGATATTTAATATTACTCTACAATATTACTATTCTTTTTTATATGAAAACATGAATGTGTGTCTGTATTGTCCAGGTCCCTCAGGATGAATGGGGAGGGAGAGATGAGGAGATCCCATGCAGAAGGATGCGGAGCAGCAGCTACGTTAAAGCCATGGGTGATCAAGACAGTGGAGACTCTGATGGCAGCCCCAAAAACTCCCCACAGAAAATGGTGCGACCCAACGCGCTCGTCAAATCTGTGCTGCAGAGACAACTTTCAGACCAGAGGTAAGAACTTTCATCATCCGGTGAATCTCATTAGAAGGCCTATCCAATCTGAGGTTAGAGTGATTAATGTTCAAAGTCATAAAGCAGAAAACAGGCGTGCAATCATTAACTAGTTATCCACGATCCCAGAGGCCCACATTCTGCGACATGTGAGATCCTTTTTTGTGGAATATGCAAATGTATTTTATGAACCATCATGAAACATCTGCAGTCGGATCACAGATTGTGCATTATAGACTCTCTTGGTATGAAAGTGAAATGCCCAGCTTTACCGCTTGAAACTGACGTTTAGGAGTGCCAGTAAATTTGAGTGAAAAATGCAAGCGATTAAGTTGACAAACACACATATAATCATAGAGACGATCTGCTGGAAGGGATTCAGTACACATTGACACCTGCTGCATCTGTACTTACCATGTCTCTGTCTTCATATCAAAAACGGAGGCTGATATATATAAAGATGCTGTGATTCAGACATCTCTGACTAAGATTGGAGCTTTCAATTATCTCCTGGTCATGTTAGGCACTAAATTTTGAACGCTGATGAATACTACTAATCGTTTTCACTCATGAGACTCTAGATGGCGCAGATTGATCGGCTTTTGCATGAAGTCTGAAATCTCATCATTACTGCTTGGCAAGCTGATTGGATTCTGATTATTCTGCAGCATTGGGAATGTGCAAATCGTGTTTCACATATGAATCACCCTGGAATTACGTGTGTATTTTTTAGACTTTTCTTGCAGCATTCATGGCCTTTAGCCAATCAGATGCCAGTTCACTGTTTAAGTAGTCATAATCTGCCTAATGGAATTCTGAATCTTTGTATACACAGACCAGTAGGAATAGTAAGTTACACGAGCATACTGTTCTTTTATTTATGGACAAATATTAAAGGTGCAGCGGCTGCTCTGGGTTTGGGTGCTTTTACACTAGCACTTTTGGTCCCCGGATTTGTTTGACATCAGAGTTCGATATGTTTAGCCAAAGACTTTAGAATACACAAGACGTGTCACTTGTATAGTTTTGAATGGGGAAAAGTATATTATGGCAAATTAAGCCCTGCCTACTAGTACAGGAGCTGATCATAGATCGCTATGGACTGGTCATTTGTCTAGGGAAAATGCTCTGACCAAACGTGTGCTTTTTCCGACAGTTTCTGTGGTCAACAAATGCACCAGAATCTCAATAAATACTTGCTTCACAGAAATAAGAAATATATTCACATAAAGCTTGAAATCTGTACTTTTACATGAACGTAGTGCACTTGAAAACTAAATTTTTTTTGTTTTGTAATCTGTATTAAATGGCCGCGAGGTACAGTCCGTCCTATCAAATGCATATCACATGACAGCAACTACACGAATGCTCACAAACTTGTAAACAAAGAGTCGCTGTCATTTCTGGAGGAGATTCACCATCAAGATTAAGTTTTGAATTACTTAAGAAGAGCAGAGCGATCTGATGGAGCATTATCCTGATGATAATAATGTGTACAATGGCCATAAATGAGGTTGGTGTCGTGATCTTGTTCTTTTCTAGTCCATTAGCTTATAAGCAACTTAATAATATGCCAATTTAGTTTGTTTTGAAATGGTTTAGAAACAAAAGTTATGAGACAAATGTTGTTTAATTTTATTAGTAATTCCAAATATGTAATGTAACCGTAAGCTTGGCAAACAGTTTTGGAGAATTTGATGTTTGCCCTTTTAGACAGAATGCCCGAGCAAACTGTCCGAGAGGCGTTTCAAAGTTGTTCGCCCAGTGAAACTTAAAAGGACTTTGCTAGACGTTTAGCTAGTGTGAACCGCACCTGAGTCCGCCTTAAAGAGGTGGTCTGGGGTACAATTCACGCAAACTCTCGTCTGGTACAATTCTGATTTGAATGCTATTGTACCAAAAAACAGATGTGAACCGCCAACTGAACAACAAACTTTAGTTTTCATAACACTCATTCATGTGTGTATGTCTGTGTATCACCTATCTTGGTAATAAGCGAGACTGAGCCAGTGCAAACACAGTGATAATGTCTGCTTGTCTCCCCCAAAAATGACTTCTGCGGACATTACATTATGTTCTGAATGTTTTTAATATTTTTGCGGCAGATAGACAAAAGTGACTTTCTGTATGTTACTAGTTCAGTTCAATTCAATTCATGTTTATTTCTACTTCGCTTTTACAATGTAAATACGAAAGTGTCATTCAAGTTTTCAGGGTTGAAGCTAAGTTTAGTTCAGTTCAGTGTGGTTTATATTTCACTGCTGGAAGTTCAATCACTGAAGAGCAAATCAAAACCAAAAGGTTTAGTAAAGCAGAACGACCGTGATGTGCATACGTCTTTCCATTTTGAGGCTTTGGTTTTCATGGCCATCCGCTAGCTACAGCTTTACACACAACAGCAGGTCGATGATGCAAGCATACCAGGTTTCAGTAGAAAAAAAGGCAATGTGAACACAAATCAGCCGAGAAGGTCACAAGGGGTGACAATCAAACTTGCGTTCAGACTATGCAATCGAACCAAATGTGAAAGCACGCTAAATTAAATGTGTATAATCCACATAAGGTTTGAACAGTATAGTGAAAAGTCTAACATTATACCTTCTAAGTTACAATTTTTCTTGTAGTAACTTATTTCTGTTTTTTTTTTTATTATAATCAATAAAATGTTTTTATATTCATACAAATTTGTGCTTATATTAGTCTTGTAGGTACCGATGCCATGTTGGCATAGTGCCCAACTGAAGTTTTCATATTTTGAAACTGGCTAAAATCTTGATCATCTTTAACGAACTAATGTTGTTTACTTAGTTCCTCACACACAGACTTCAAACACACATAAAAGTGAAACTTTTGCAATGTTTTATCTAAGTATTTGTAAACATCCCAGCCAGCATTGAATTGTGGGATATTCCTGTTAACACTGCGCCCGCTCTCGCTCTCTCACACAATACCACCTGGAGCTTTTGTTCTCCACCAGACGTGAGGATTATTTTCTGCTCTGTATTACAGGCCTGTACGCCATTATGCAAAGCTCTGAAACATGATGTTATAAATTTGGCAAGACTGCCTCTCTCAAAGTGCGTCTAATGAAAGAGAGTGTAGCACATCAAATGAGCTCTTCCCCTGAGTAGGTGCATGGAACACTGCATTGACTGCGTATTATGAAAAAGTATATTTATACAGTATTAAGATTGTAAGGCGGCAGGGATTCCACTGAAAGGTGCGTCCCATTAAAACTAGCTTCTGTGTAAGTTAGCATCACGTTCAGGTAATTAGCACTTGCGGGTATTGAGAAGTTCACAGCCTGTTTAAGAAAAGTAGACCTTGTTCGTACTCTAGAGAGCTATTTTAGTTGCTGCTGTCACTTCGAGAAATGAAGAGACATCATTGAATACCTTTAGGGGTTTAATATGTAACCACATCAGAAAAAGTGCCGAGCACATGACTGTGATTTGGTATTGCTTTATTTTGATAGTCACTTTAACACATTTTGTTGACTATAATTTAAGTCACAACTACATGGCAACTAATTGTCATTAGAGTATGAGAACTGTAGACTGTAAGGTTAGGGTTAAAATTTGCTTGCAACTTTTTTATAGTCAGGAGAAGGTCGGTTGATGGAGCAGCATCAGTCTATTAATACTCTAGTGTGAAATAGTTTGCATGTTGTTGTAATGGAACTTAAATTTTATTCATTGTGCAATATGGACCATCAAAATGAATAGATAGCATTGAATCTTGTTAAAATGTACAGTAATCTTCAGAATAATGTTTATGTGTGAAGCTTTGCCCCATACGAAGAAGGTAAATGACCTAAATGGCCTGTTAAACAACGTTTGTACACCATTGCAAGGCAAGGAAACTTTATTTATAGAGCACAATTTTACACAACCATAGTTGGTAATCAAAAATGCTTTGCAATAAAGTAAAATATATTAATTGAATGAAAAAATAAAACTTTTATTAAAAGTATAAGAAAGGGAAAAATATATATGTAATAACCATGGCTTGACATAAACACCTGCCAACCCACTAAATGCGAGTAGATTTCAGCTGTGGCAGGTTAAACAGCTGCTCCCACTAGCCACTTTAGCTGGTTGAAAATAATTTTTACGTTGCCAGAGCTGTCTCTTCCCTAAAGATTAGAATTTTAGTTTAAGACCGTTTGTCAATATGGGCGCAAATGTGATCTTAGAATCGAGAAGCAGCACGATTGATAAGTTTTCACGTAAGTAAAAGAAAGCAGGTGAAGCAAGGCACAGGTGATGTGAAGCACGCAAGTGCTTAAAAGCTCTCGCTTCTTTGCGCAAAACAACTGTGCCTGGAAACTCAACTGGTGCGATCGTTTCTCTTTGAAAGAGATTGGGGAAAAAAGCGGTGCTCCTGCACCCATAGTCCTGCTATGTTAAACAGAGCTCCAGATTTTTTGTATGCGGCAGCTGTTGCCGCTTTCGCTTTAACCATTCTTTGAACAGAATATTAATGGGCCTAACGTTAAGCGTGTGCACGTAATCATCTTTTCATTATCGCACATACAATGTTTTTCACCTGCTTTCTTTTGCTTGCAGTTACTTTTGTTAATGCAGTTCAATTATCATCCTTTACAATAACATTGCTTTAATAGGAGATTACCTCTCAGTGTATCTACAGTTATCTGATGATCTTGGACCTTTAGCCTGGACAAGCTACTGTGTATTTTTAGTTTTTTAAAAGTCAATTGTTTTTAAGAAAATTTTTGTTGATTAAAATAAGTCTTTGTTGAGACAGTGCTGACTGAAGTAAACCAATGTACAAAGTGTAACAGTAGTCTGACTGAGCGGAAATTAAAGCATGAGTTACGATTTCTAGATCTTTTTTAGAAGGAAACAGTTTTACCTTTGCCCCCATTCTCTGTTGGAAAAAGCTGCTCTTCACAACTGCTTTTACATGCTTGTCAAACTGCAAAAGTGGATCAAAAATAACTAACGTGATTTTGCAGATTGTTGTTTGGTAATCCTATA